GGGGGCCAGATCAGGCCCACAGTGGACCTGGCCATCTCCTGCTTTCAGTTCTGCTGCTGCTGCATCATAGCTTGCTTCACCAGATTCTCTTAATCACTCAGCCATTTCATGTTTTAACCTGGGTCCTAGACACAGAACTCTGAGCATGAGATTTCTGTGGTGAATGTCTATAAATCAAAAGTAGTTTTGCAGCTTACAGAGCTAATGTTTTAAGCATGTTTTTATTTTAAGTTAAAAAAATATTTGTTTGTGTGCTTTATAAAGTTTATATCTCTGCTATCTGGCATTACATTTTATGACACACGTGGCCCAGCCCAACAAGGTTTCATTTATGTCAGATCCGGCCCTCATAACAAATGAGATCGACACCCCTGGCCTAAAGCATCTCTGACAAATATTTGTCCAGCCTCTTCTTGAAAGCTGTCAGTGAAGGGGAGCTAACCACCTCTCTAGGCAGTTGATTCCACCTTTGAACCACTCTGACTGTGAAAAGGTTTTTCCTAACATCCAGCTGATACCTTTCTGCATGTAATTTAAACCCGTTGCTTCGGGTCCTATCCTCTGCTGCCAACTGGAACAGCTCCTTGCCCTCCTCCAAATGACAGCCTTTAAAATATTTAAAGAGAGCAATCATGTCTCCCCTCAATCTCCTCTTCTCCAAACTAAACATTCCCAGGGCACTTAGCCTTTCCTCATAGGGCTCAGTCTCCAGACCCTTGATCATCCTCATCACTCTCTTCTGCACCCTCTAGATTTTGTCCACATCCTTTCTGAAGTGAGGCCTCCAGAACTGCACACCTCAAGGTGCGGCCTGACCAAGGCAGTATACAGAGGGGCTATGACCTCCTGCAATTTCGATGCTATGACCCTTTTAATACAACCTAAGACTGAATTTGCCTTTTTTACCACCACATCACACTGACTGCTCATATTTAGTTTACAGTCCACTCTTACCCCAAGATCTCTTTCGCATACACTACTCCCCAAAAATGTATCCCCCATCCAGTACTTGTGCTTGACATTTTTGTGGCCCAGATGTAATAGTGTGCATTTATCTTTGTTGATTTGCATCCTGTTTGCAACTGCCCACTTCTCCAGAGTATTCTGGCCTTGTTGAATTTTAACTCTGTCTTCTTGGGTGTCTGCTTAGTGCTTTATGAGGTAATTCTAAATTTTAAAAAAGTACTAAACATTACTATACCATTTGCGGTGCAATGCTATGGGGCCTCTTAAACTGGGCATGGTTTAGAGCATCAGCTTGCCTAATCCAGCCCTGGAAGCCCTAGAAAATACATAAAGTCACACTGGGTCACATCAGTGCCAGTCAGTAATCACACTCTTAGCCCTTGGATGATGCTGTTGTATGGATGAAAAGGAGATATGGGGGTGGGGGGAGACGTCCATCAACCTGAGCTCCTCAGAAGAAGGGTGAAGATTATACCCAATTATTAATTCCATATATCAGAGAATATTTGACAGCAGATAACACAAACATGTACAGGGGAGAGAAGATGGAAGTTAAAGTGCACTCTTAGATGCAATTTCTACCTGAAAATTGGCTACTGATCGCTACTGATGGCCCAGATCCTGTCTTATACTCGCCAAGAGTGTGACAGCCACACGTTAGCAAGGTTCTTCGCATAAACACGTGTCAGGTAGAGAAGTTTGTAGGGGGAAACAGAGGAAGGCGAGCTTCACTAGAGACATAGCAATACAAATATAGCCCCTGAACGGGAACGACCTGAGCACGATCCAGACTTACCCGCCGCTGCACGCAACACTAAGCCTCACCTCCGCTACCAGCCCACCAGCCCCTCTCTGGCTCTCACCTCGACAACCACTCCCCTACGCATGCGCCCTGCCACTCTTCGCCTCCAGGAACTCCGTGACATTACGTCTTTACTCCGCGACAACATTCTTCCCCCTTTCCCTTGGGAAGTCCTGGAAATCAATGGCGGGGAGAGAGAGCATCATAATAATAACTGGATTCCAAAGAGAGAAAACAATCAACTCATCCTGTCCTAAAAGTTTCCTGAGTGAAAAGAAAATACACAGAGACTATAAGGCAGTTTCATGTGTTCAAAGTTGCTTAGCGCCGGAGGACCGGCATATGTCGTCATCATGCTGCGACTCCAGTTTTCAGAAAGGCCGTCGGAATTTTTTTCTAATTCTTTGAAAAGCCGCCCTATAAAGATGGAAAGACGTCAGGATTCTGCCTATAGACTACGAAAATTATTTTTAAACTTTCTCCCGCCCCGCTCTCCGCTCGTCGTCATTAGACTGCGTCACTGACTAAATAATAGTCCTTAGAGAAGCCGGTTAACCATCTACTCTCGGGGCGAGCGTGGGTTTATTACGTCATCAGACTGCGCCTCTAGAGCGCGACCACGAGAGGCTCCCATCAATGGCGCTCTCCTTCTGCGGGCTGCGCCAGGCCGCCTTCCTGCGTGCTCCCCGCCGGTTTCTGCTCAGTTGGCCGCGGCTGTCCTCCAGAGAGCCTTCGCAAGAGGAGAACGTGATTCGGATTCCCCGCGCTTGGCAGCTGCAGTTGCAAAAAGTCGAGTCTAAAGCGGCGCGAAGAGCCCGCCTGGCGGCCGCCGCTGCCACCCCAAACACCCGGTCCGGGAAGCTGATGCTGAGGAGCCGGAGGCAGGAACTGAGCCAAAGCACGAGGTTCGTTTTAGGGCGCTGGGAACGGCCACGCTTGGTCTCGGACGGCTGGAAAAATCGCTTGTCCCGGGGGGATTATTTCCAACTGGAGCGGACGAGACAGGAGCCGCCCCAGGAACGAGACGAAGCCAATTCTCCCTCCTCTTTCCAAGAGCTGGGAGTGGAGCCGCGGATCGCCTCCGCCTTGCAGGATGCTTTGGCCATCTCTCAACATACCGCCGTGCAGAAGCGGGCCATCCCTGTCCTGCTGGGCGGGCACAACGCCTTGTGTGCGGCAGAGACTGGCAGCGGCAAGACCCTGGCCTACCTGCTGCCCTTAATCCAACGGCTCCTCCAAGGACAGAATTTGTTTTCAAGACATGCTTCTGTGGTCTCCCCCCGCGCTTTGGTAGTGCTGCCCTCACGGGAGTTGGCAGGACAAGTGCAGAGTGTGGCTTCTTACTTGTGTGTGAGGTTGGGCTTGCAAGTGAGGGAGATCGGCGGAGGCCGGGGCATAGGCGCTGTCCGACGGAAACTGCATTACGGACCCATTGATCTCCTGGTGGCCACACCGGGTGCTCTGTGCAAGGCTTTGCGAAGGCGGATGCTGTCCCTGGAGAAATTGTGCTTCCTGGTGCTGGATGAAGTGGATACCTTATTGGATCCCTCGTTTTTCGACCTGGTGGAAGACCTGCTTCAGCAGACTCTTCTCCCCACCAGAGGTGAGGAAGTAAATAATGACTGGGATCCAAAAACCCAGCTGGTGGCTATGGGAGCCTCCCTCCCAAAGGGAATAAGTGATCTGTTGAGCAAGGTCACTGACATAAGCAACTTCAGCATCCTGACGAGCTATTATTTGCACTACCTTCAGCCTCATGTTGAACAAAAGTTCATGCGCCTGAAGGGCAGTGACAAAGTGACTGAGCTGCTGCAGCTCCTCAAAGATCGAGGCCCCACCTCTGGTGCTGTTCTGATTTTTTGCAGCGGTGCCAGCACCGTCAACTGGCTTAGTTATATCTTAGATGACCACAAGGTGAAACACCTCCGCCTACAGGGAGAGATGCCAGCAGATATGCGAGCCAACATCTTCACTCACTTCCAGAAAAGACAATTTGACATCTTGGTATGCACAGACATAGCCTCTCGGGGACTGGACACGACACAGGTGGAGCTAGTGGTCAACTATGACTTCCCGCAGACGTTGCATGACTACTTGCATCGGGTGGGGCGAGTGGGCCGCGTAGGCAGCAGGTTTCCGGGGACTGTTGTCAGCTTTGTCACCCACAAGTGGGACGTAGACCTGGTGAAGAAAATAGAAACTGCTGCTCGCAAAAGGGCTCCACTGCCAGGCATGGAATCTCCAGTTAAGAAAGTCTGAGGAAAGCTGAAGTCTAAAATAGCTTTTGAAACGTGTGACCTCATGGTTCTGATCAAAGGTGCAGCATAATGTTTTGTACATTTAACTTGAGGATCTGAACAGCCAAAGAAATGGCAATTCCCCTTAAGAAACCTGTGATAAATAAATTTGCAAGCGTAAACATCTGCTTCCATGGAATTGCTTGACTTGCATGGGTTGAGGTTTGTTTGTGATGGCTGTGTTTGTGGACTCGGTTAGAAGTTGGGCAGTGGCATACTGGACCTGATCTTCTATCTGTTTTAACAGTTAGGTGGTCTGTGGCATCTCAAGGAGACATGGCAACCTAGCCCTGTTGCATTAACCAAATTGGCTCTCCCTCCCCCTTCTCATTCGTGTAAATATTTTTATTAATGCAGGAAGGTGGAACCAAAAGTTGTAAGACTTGTGCTGTGGAATAGCTCGATTTGAGGGGTATTGGGCTGTGTACCTACTAAAGGGTAATCAACACCTCAGCTATGTTTTAATTGGTGGGTTATAAGTTTGTTTATTGAGATTGTCTTTGTTTAGCTCTTCTGTCTGAAAGTCAAGACTACACTCTCTAGGTAAAGGGCAGAATTTGGGGGCATGTGCCAACAGGTGCCAAATTGGAGTTAGATGTATCTTAAGACTGCTTGTATCATTGTAAAATTGAAAGACAGAGGAGGATTCCCTTGTGCTTGTGTGTGTTCACACATGTGCTGTAAACAGGTCTCACATATTACTGTCTTTCCCAGTAATTGTGTGAACTTCAGCACTTTCAATAACCTGCTTATTATCCATGCAGTTCTACACTATGCTTCTTTTATAACATGCATCTCACCTTTCATCCAAGAGTGCAAGATGATATATGCAGGCAGCATTTTACCTTCCCAGTAATTCTGTGAAGTACATTTGGCTGAGAGAGTGACTTGGCCAAACAGCTTCTCGGCTGAACAGCAATTCAAGCTCAGGTGGTTCTTTGTTCACATAAACACCTTTAGAAGCAGGGCCTGTTGAGCAGACCTTACCTGGCATGGGGACACAGTGGGAGCAAAAAAGTCCTTCATGGCATGCAGCTAAGCTTTATCACCTGCTATTTGCTGCAGCTGAAACTGCGAAACAGCAAATATATACACTACAATAACCTTATTTATAAGTTAAAGTGTTTTATATGTTCCATCTTGTAAAGTGCATTGTGTATTATTCATAATATTCTAAAACAGGTATATATTCATTACATGCAGTAACAACAATAATAATCAGTTTGTACAATCTAATAGCTACCAGTCAATTTACATCCTTTTTACACAATCAACTCCAGCGGGAGTTTCTAGAATTGTTCTCCTTGCTTGAAAGTCTTCTAAAGGGGGAAGTTTCCTTTTGTGGTTACATTGAAGTTTAAATTGATGTTTGTTGCTGGTCATACAAAAGGCTGTTAAAAGATTCATGAGTCTAAAAATTATCTAATATATCTTGGCTTTGTGTAGTTTTCTTACCCCATTAAGCAGCTGACAATCATAGACCGAGCATTCCTGTCTTTATCAAGGCTGCCTAGTATTGACCTTGTTCTCTGGTCATTAAATCTTACAGCACCTGTTAACAGTTTGTATGTGTGTTCTCTAATTAAAGTGACAGTAGTGAAAAATCCACATTCCACTTCATAATGGATTCCAGTTCAATAACAGTCTAAATTGTACTTCGAAGTTTGCAGGGGATGTTCTCTCCTTTTTTCCTTAAGGTGATAATCCAGTTCACAGATGACATGAGAGGTCCATTGTTTGGTTCATTCCCTCTGGGGTCAATGTATGGAGCTTGTGTATCCAGAAGTTTTCTTTGCAGACAAGAATCTTCTTAATGTCTTGTTGGTTGAGGCTTTGGCTCTCATATTTGTAAATCACAAAGAATTTTAAGTCCTCAAAACGATGCTGGACTGACATACAATGCTCCACCATTGGAGCGTCCAAAATTTTGTTTTTCAATCTCGATTTATGTTCCATGATACAAGTTTTTAATGATCGTGTTGAACTCCCTACATAATATTTTGGACACCCACAGAAGGTTACATAAACAATATTTTTACTGGTGCAAGTAGACAAGTGTGGCCAACGATAATTTTTCAGATAAGGTTCTAAAGAAAATTCTTTTACTTCAAAGCAATTATTACATATGGAACAGTTTTGGCATTTGAAGTGACCATATTTTTTTTTAACCAAAATACTTTTATTCATTTTAGTAACAGAACAAAATAAGATTTAACAGGTTTTCAGCATACATAACATTACGCCCGATCGAGTAAGACGACCATATGAACATGCAACGATAGTCAGTACAAGTATCACAAGATTAACCAAGTAATAACAATGAATATTTTGCTTTGCATATGGCTTCCCATTCAAAGGATTCAAAGGTAAGTTTATCAATTATGGGGTACCATTTTCCAATTGGGTTAAGTAATTCGCACTCGTTTTGATCAGTATTGTTGTAAATTGAAATGGTTTCATATAGGAAGTAGTCCCATATTTTAGAGAGCCAGAGTTTAATCGGAGGGTGACTGTCTCTCCATTTTTTCGCTATAACATTTTTCGCAGCAGTCAATAAGATATTAATTAGTTGTTTCTGGCTGTTTGGGATGTCACACTCAGGCCATATATTTAATAGCATGAGCTGAGGATCTAAACGGATTTCATAACCTGTGAGCGAAAAACTTTGAATTTTCACTTCAGACCAAAATTTGAGTATGTGTTTGCAGGACCACCAGGCGTGATAGAATGTGGCTTTCTCGCCGCAGAGTTTCCAACATAGTGGTGAACTAGATGTTGACATATGAGCTATTTTAACTGGTGTTAAGTACCAACGAGAGCCTACTTTATAAGAGGTTTCTAAGATTTCAGATGATTTGGAGATATTAAGTTGCATTTTCCATATTGTGAGCCATGTGTCATCAGTCAGGACAGTTTGTAGATCTGTATGCCATGCTTTTTGATAAGTCAAATTTTGACTGATATGCTGGGAAAATAACAAGTTGTATATTTTGGAGATTAATCCTTGTTTCTTAGGTTTTTTTAGCATTAATTTTTCGAAGTCTGTAGTCTGCGAAGTGGTGGTCATATTGTGAGCGTCGCTTTCAAGGAAATGACGCAGTTGGAGGTATTCGAACCAGGGAATATTAGTATTATATTTGTTTTCTATTTCAGATTTCGTCATTAGCTTGCGTTTTATTATTACGTCTGCAAAACAGGTGATACCTTTTTTTCTCCAGGTAAGAAAAGAGTTAGGACTAAATGCCAGTTGGAAAATTTTTTGACCTATAAAAGTGTATAGTTGTGAGTGTTTAGAAAGTAAAAGATTTTTGGAGTGACACCATATTTTCAAAGTGTGTGCAAAGAAAGGGCTTTTTAACGATTTAATAGCTTTAAAAGGGTGAGATGACCAAAGTACCTCCTGGAAAGTATTTTCGGCGAAGGCCTTTTCTTCAATCCATTTCCAATCTATTGTCTAATTAGAGAGGCTAATGAGACCGCTTTATAATATGAAAGTAGGTCAGGGGCTGCCAGTCCCCCTGCTTTTTTGGCTCTGCAAAGAGTAGTGCGCGGGATACGGTGATGTTTATAGCACCATACAAAGCTGATTAGATCATTTTGCCATTTTTTAAGCTGCTGGTTTGTAATTGTGATTGGTAGCACTCGAAAATAATAAAAATATTTTGGTAAGATAAATACTCTAAGAATGGTGATTCTGTCAAAGAAAGATAGCATTTTATCATTCCAGGCTTTTAATAGTTTAATATTTTCCTTGTGTATTTCCGAAAAATTCTCTTTGGGGAGGTGGTCCAAGTTAAGAGGTATATTAATTCCCAAGTATTGGATGGATTTTGGTAGGTATAGGCATGCTTCAGTTGAAAGGAGGCCTCTGAGGATAGGTTAATGGGGTAAATTATGGATTTAGAATGGTTTATTTTGAGTCCAGCTACTGTTTCAAAAGATTGTAGCACTTTGTGTAATTCCTGGTCAGATATAATGAGATGTCGTCAGCAAAGAGGCTGAGTTTGAACGTTTTATTTTTGATATTGAAACCCTGAATATTTTCGTTTTGTCGGATAGCGCACGCCAAGAGAATAGGCGATAGAGGGCACCCTTGGCGTGTGCCTCTATAGAGGGTAAATTCAGATGAGGTTGCTCCATTGATTAATAATTGATTAATAATTGAGCTTTCGGTTCTTCGTATATGGCTTGTATTGATTTCCTGAAGATAGGGCCAAAGGGCATATGTTGCAGTAGGGAGTCTAGGTATTTGACTTCTAGAGAATCAAAAGCCTTTTCAATGAAGTGACCATATGTTTGTATACTATTTTGCTTTTGTGTATGTTGGGCTAGGTTGTTTATATCTGATTTTACTAGAATATCTCTAATAGTTCTAGCCCGTCTATATCCTACTAAAGGGGATTGTTGGCATCCTGGTATATTAGATACTACATGCCAATATTTGTGCAAAATTTTATTAATATGTGTAGACAGACTACTAAACTGGAATGCACATGAAATTCTAGAATTTATCTGTGTGTTTTTTTCCTTATATAAAAGTTCCCTTCTGACTCTTTTCCTAGATCGTTTCCAAGCTGTATTTATCATTGTCATAGGGTAACCCCGGTTTTTCAATTGCTTTGTTAATGTTTTACTTTCATCAATGAAATATCTCTCTTCAGTACAATTTCTTTTCATTCTGAGAAATTGCCCATATGGTAAGTTGGTCTTAAGATGCCAAGAATGATTGGAATCAAAGTGCAATAGAGCATTTTAATCTGTTAATTTCCTGAAGACTCTAGCCCCCAATTTATGGTTTTCTCTCCTATATATTACTGTGTCTAAAAAGTTGATAGCTTGTTCATTGGCTTCATGTAAGACCAGGCGTTCAAATACTGTAATAGCCGGGTCAAAATTTTTGGGTATAAATTTAGATTTTGGGCGAAAAAGGGATTGTGGGTTCCTTGGATGTTCAAATTTCCTCAAAAAACTTTTTAATATATACCTGTTTTAGAATATTATGAATAATACACAATGCACTTTATAAGATGCAACATATAGAACAGTTTAACATAAATAAGGTTTTTGTAATGTATATATTTGTTGTTTGACTCTTCTAACACTGCAGCTCGAGTTTCCACAGCAGCTGAAACTGCAGCAAAACAGACAAGATTTGGAATTTGGCAACACTTATTATTATTTATTAAGTTGGATTTACTTAC